AATTTTTCAGGAACGTCACAAGAGCGATTCTCGGCAGGACCCAGGCGGAGCGTAGAGACGGAGACCTCGGGACGGCCAGCGCCACTCAGGACCTGCTGCACCGCGCCGAGGTACAGGCCCGCGTACTGAGAGCCACCCTCGGGCAACATCTGCCCAGAAAGGTAAAAACTATTCTATATCTGTATCTGTGTAGCCGATAAAACCGCCTTTTAGCGTAACACACCAGCTAGCTCCGCAGGCACGCGGCGCGGCGGCAGCTAGCTATATCACAGCGAACGACTTGTTACACCTAATCTTTGCACGTCTAACTGCAGGAGTTGTTAGTGCTTTCTAGTGATCATGCCCCAACTGTAAACGGCAAAATCCCATTGTAACATTTGAATATTAATTATGCAAATGACTTCTACATTTATATAATCTATGCATTATGATGTTAAACTTTAACTTACGTCTGTTACAAGTATCAAATTCTCATCATTTACCCGTACGGACCTCTGGTATGTTCACAATAATATGTAAGGTCACTTGAAAAGCACATCTCTACCTAACTATAGTAAGATACCTGCATGCCTCAAATCATCATGAAAATCCTTCATCCATTCTCTTTGAAATATTTTTAAAAAACGCATCCACAGTTCCAAAACAAGTTGCTAGGTGGTCCGAACCTACATGTACCAAGGTATTCTTGCATGTACATCGTTTTCATGGCATAAAGAGCTATCGATATATGTGCTTCCATGAAATCAAGATCATAGCATGTCCACTGCAGATAGAATAAAAGATACAAAAACAGGAAGTGTTGAGGCATTAACTCCCTGTCAGACAGCATTTTACCTTAAAACCCCCTTTTTCAGTTTACAAAAGCGCAAAGCCTACTCGCCAACAATGAGTCTATCTTTATTCGAATTCATTGACCTATATTCTCAATACACCAATTTTTTCTATGGAATACTATAGCTACGCTCGTAGTAGTCGACCCTAACAGTGTACAAACCACGCCTGAGCCCGATGACTAATTCTCTTTAGGCCATGTTGATTTGATTATATGGATGACATCCTCCGGGAGCCCCAAAACTGATGCGCGCGTGCGAATAAAAAAAAAGTTTTGCAAAAAAAAAAGTTGTTTTCATTATGAAATCTACGTGGTCATAAGGGTTGAACAAATGGGACAGAAGATGGTTTGGCGAATAATCTAATCTTCAAGTTCATTTCCTTACAATTTCGTCTTTTTTCGTTTGATTTTGGCATTCTACAACATTGGTATAGTTTTTACTTATTTTTTTGTAACTTACGGTATATTTTTGCTCATTTTGCAACTGTTTTGTACGATTTACAGTATGGTTGAAAACTTTTTTTTTTTTGGAAACGGCCGGAAATTCATGCGCGCGCGGATGTCATCCATATAATCAAATCAACATGGCCTTACTTCAACCCGTTTCGTTCCGCGCAGGTTGGGAATGAGAGATAGGGGATTGAAACATTCCATCATAAAAGAAAATCAGCAGCAGGTCGACTTTCGTGATCTTTTATCGTGGTTAAGATGGAGGTGCGTCGTGCATGGAATGTCGAGAAAATTAGACATTAGACAAAAGCGCTGCTGGATGTAGCTAGATTGTATCCCATCTTTAAAACAAAACCACAGCTGTAGACTTAAGTACACGGTGTATAAGGCCACAGCAAGTAAATTTTATGGGGCGAAAAAAAAAAGATTCCTACATGTTGAAATGTTGAGATCATAGACCTTATTCAACAAGAACTGGCTGGGGCGACGAAACATGATATAAGAGAAAAACGGTCTTTTATTTCTGTATTTCCTGTCCTTGTATATGGGTGTAATATTTTATATAACTGCTAGAACAACATAATTGTAGAAAAAAGCTTGACGTATCATCATGGGCAGCTACTAGTATCTCAGTGGGTATTCATTCATATGCAATTTTGGAGCACCTGTCAACAATTGCCATCAAATGCGAGCAATTGTGCAATTTAAATTTGTTGAATCCCTGATGGTCTTTTCACTGACAGAGTGACTCTTAAACCGAACTGTCCCACGGAAGATGGTCTTCGGACGGCAAAAATAGTTATTTTTTTTCGAAATCAGGGGAAAACTAAAGCGCGCTGACGCCATCCATAACAATTACTTGCTTGGGCCTGATGTGAATTCCATTTTCAGTATAACACCTTGATTGTGTATAACAATGACATTTTAGGATACTGTATGAATGAAAAGCACATTTCGTCTGATGTATTGAGTGTATACAGGGTTACAGCTCCTCGCAAACCATTTTACACCTGCGAGAACTAATCATAGCGTGTACGATATGATTTTAGCTCACAACTGTGGAATAAATACGGTGAGATAACCACTGTGATTACACATCAAATGTCAGTTCTGAGTACACCAGTCCCAATCTTTCCCTAGTTTGCAGAGCTACTCACGAACGATTTGCAAAAAGTGCATAAGTTTAGTTAACCATTGTAGACATTATTGTACGTGACAAGAATATGACCCTTCCCTCTGTTTTGTCGTATATAATATATCCAGCTAGCTCGTGGATTTGGTATGCTTTGCTGCATTTACCACGCCTTTCTTTGTAATGTTACTATTTAACATCACAAAGAGAGATGTGCAGCAAAGCGTACCAAAGCTGCACTGAGGGTGAACACGTGTGACTCATCGTGCGTAAGGGATCAGAGAAGCTCCCACGCACATGACGATTACACCCATGTGAACTCTGTTGAATTTTGTCGTGGTATTGGTCATTTTGTTATAGGATAATCCTGCGACATTAGAAAATCGAGAAAATTTAGAATATAGACTGATTGTATAATGAACATGTCCCCTCGCATGGTCCAGATCACGGGGTATCGAGACCGAAAGTGCCACTGCAGTAGCATAACGAGCCGCCAGGAGGGATCTCTCTCTCTCTCTCTCTCTCTCTCTCTATCTCTCTATCTCTCTCTCTCTCTCTCTCTCTCTCTCTCTCTCACACACACACACACTCTCACTCACTCAATCACACACACAATTAAATAGAATTTAATTTAAAAATAAATTTAAACAGAAAAAGACGAAACATAATTTTGACACCCCCACTAAAAGTGGTACTGTACCAATGTCACGGGGTCTTTCAGATGTTTACCTAGATTGATCTGTTTTTTTGCAATGGAGGAATTTCATAAGGGAAATTTGTGTCAAATAGCCGTGTCAATTGGATAGGCTATATGATAATAACACTAATGCCCCGCATTTTCCACGGTGTGTATGGTGAGATAATCCCTGGTAAATCTCGTTCGCTACGCTCACTTGGTGGTTTATTCGGTGGTTATCGCTGACCAAGGATTATCTCACCATTATACACCTCGGGGAGGGGCATTAACCTTATTGAATAACGAATACACGTANGTTACCGATTGTTATGTAAATTCACAATAATGATTATATGGTACTGATTGTTATGCAAATTCACAGTAGTGGTATACCTGGTCAAAATCCTGATGGGCGATTGCTCTAGTGTGGAATTGTTATGTAAATTACTCGCCAGTCATCAAAACCTGTGCTTTGAAGCATTCTTTGATAATTAGGCCACACCGTCTTGATTTTATGGATGACATCCTCTGAAGGCACCCAAACTAGTGCGCGCGGGCGAAAAAAAAAATCCGGCCAAAAATAAAAATGATATTAAACTATACTAATACAAAGCCGGTATTGTGAATTTGGCGCATTACATATTGACGTATACGACAGGCCGGCACATGCTGGATTTTTGCGGAATTTATGAATCGGCACTGTACGTATGTACTTAGTTCTTGAGTTCGGTTGCCTGGGTGCCAACCTCTAGAGTGAGTTACCACCGGCTTCATTGTCGCTAACCACCATGGCCTAAAGCCAGGCCTCGGAAGACGTGATCTCTTTTTTTTTATAGATCAGGCGAAAATCAATGCGCGCGCGGATGTCATCCATAAAATTAAGTCAGTGTGGCCTTACATGTAGCTACAAACGTCCTCCGTTCGGAAACTTATTCTAAAGACGACCCAGAACGAGATCTCACGCCATTAGCATCGTTCTGACAGAAACTCATTTATTTCATCAATCCACGTTCTTTTCACTATTCATATCCATCAGCTTCACATTACTCAGCATATTAGGCAATATATTGTCACAAGAACAAGCAATTACGATTATTTGATTTAATCAACTAATATGGAAGGTAAAGAACGTTTTCTTTGC